ATGATCTTAAAGGGCTTTTCCAACCAAAGCGATTCTATGATTCTATATCTGCACACCCAGTGTGATCTCTGATCGCCTAAGTGCTGACTGGCAGGAGTTACAACTTGGGAACATAACACACTTGAAGTTAAAATTTACCACGTGGCTTTTAGGTACAGTCTGTAGCTTCAAACATGCCTCTAGCTCTGCCACCACGTAACAGCGTTTCCTGCAGTAACGCACGTCTGAGAGTTTCCTCACCTGCCGTGGTGCCCCAAGGACTTACACACACCAAGCTGATCAAGATGCCAGGGGCACAGCGCTCCAGCGGGATCCCTGCCTCCCTGTTCCGTAAAGCAGATGCTCCTCACGACTCGATGGGGCCAGCATTTCATTACACATTTCAGTTTAAAACCCCACTCCCCCACTCAGTCGTTCTACCTGAAGCCAGATTCAGAGCTGGTGCTGCTAACGTTATAAATACCCGGCAAGCAGGGCTCAGCAGCGTTATCAGGCAACTGGATTTCTTAACTTGACTGTAAGCCATCCCACTCTTAAGCTCTGTCCTCCACCCTGCCTCAAATATTTTGAGGCCAGCCCCTCCCTACCCATTTGGACCAAATCACCATTCAGCCTTCTAGCAAACAGCCCTGCAGACCATTTGACTCGTACGTAACCTCTCTCCAGCGAGAAGGGCCAGCCCCTGCTGTCCTCGCCAACAGGCGCTGTGCTGCCAGAACCTTTTGGTTGTGCACTACATCCCTCGTCAGCCCTGACGAGACAGAATACTTCCATTTTGTCCTCTGTATATACGCATTTTGGAAGCTAGACAAGGAGGTACTATGGGGCAAATACGCTCCGTTTTCTCTGGCAAGTGCATTTTTGCGTGTTATCATAGGGGTCGGGTAGATTATGTCGCCTGCTGTTCCAGCAACGAACGCAGAAAGCACTGCAGGCACGTGCTGCTCCTTCAGGGCCGCTGTGACTTTCATGACCTCGTGCAGAAGAAGCGTTTTTCCTCCTAGTCAATCCCTTTGGATGAGGAAGTAAATACTCAGCTGACTCGGGTGTTCTGTTTTCAAAAATAAGACCCTACAAATCGTATATGACTAACACTTCTCTTTCAAAGGAACAACGTTGATACATAAGAGTGAAGCCATCAGAAATGCTCTCACGCTTTTTGTATCGCACGAGCTGCTTTTTGCTTTTGCTCTACAAAAGCAATTAAATTTTCAAAGGCACCCTATCAGGCAGCCTGCTTGCACAGAAAGAGAGGGCTGCAACTGCTTTTTCAGTGGAGTAACTCCAACGCTATGCAGATATCATCCTTCTCAAAGGTCCTCCAGACTTGATCTCGTCCATCCCTTCTAGTAGGTCCCAAATTTCTAGACTAACTGATAGTCTGTCAGCCCCCAAAAATTATTAGAGCCACAGCCAGCCAGCCTCACACGAATGAAGAGATGGGCCAGCAGCTCACCATTCACTTTGACTTATGGACCAACCATTGTGTGTAGAAGTCAAAGCTGTATATCCCGTCACTAGATTGCCCAGTCCTGCTCCGTGCGTTCTGGTCCCCGTGAGAAGCAAGGCCTGCGTCCGGAAGCGATACCAACACCGCGCTGTGCGTGTGACAAGGGCAGCACCGCTCTCGGGTAACGAGGTACCCGACAGCTAAGAGCAGCCTTTCCTTTTTAGAGAAGAGTGGCTTTTAATGAGACAGCAATCACCTCCACATAAGAAAACGTGGGTCTATTACAAGCTCCAGGCTAGAGCCTTATCCAAAAAAGTCGAGGCTTCTCTCCAGAAAGAGTGCAGCGCGTGCACAGGATTAGAAGGTGGCCCGGTGACAAATGCAGCTAGAATTTTGTAACATGTGACCCCCTCACACCCTGTAAATGCTCAGTGTTCCAGTCCCGTTCAGTAAGGGTATAAAAAGAAAGAAATCCTACCTGGATATCTGGATATTCAGACTGCAACTTCCCCTCCTTACTGTAGGTATAGACAGTGAAATCTTTGGGCAGCAGTTCTCTGTAAGGGAAGGGGAGAAGGCATACAAGAGGAATTTCATGAAATGACTGGGACATTACAGCAGGGCAGTGAGATGATCCTAATCAAAAGTGTCACAAATACGTAAATTGCAATAAGGAAACATTCAAGAGGGACGCCCTCCCCCCCCCCAAAGTAACCAAGGAATTGTGCATTTCCACAGCAAAATCCAAGATATCAGAATGGAGGAACCATTAATGAGATCAAATCAACCACTTTACCCTGGATAAGCAAAACAAGCATCAAAACCCATTAAATTGTGCCAAAAGCTGGCTTTCAGGCAGGAAAAGAAAAAAAAAAAAAAATCACAGCATTCAGTCTGTTGCATGGGACTTCTCTTCCTCAGTTCTGGAAGGAAGTGCATTGGGAAAGTCTCCCACGATTACAACTGCTTGACCCAAGGCAAATCCCTTGATGCGGTGTAGCTGAATTCCCATGTTTCTGAGGGTCAGGGGCTTGACAAGTGGCAGCCAGAGATCCCCAGGGGCTTGTACATTTAAATAGTTCTGTCTCTTCTGTCTAGGACAAGGGCAGTTTTAAGAAGCAATAGCCTGGTAAACGGTGACTTGCCGCTGCTGCAAGCAGCCCTTTAAAAATGAAACTCAAGACAGACAACATATTGACTGTAAGTTATGGACATGAAGGCCTTGGATATAAAGCCCATTTCCTCACTTATTAGTATTCTTGCACTACTGAGACAGGAAAAAAACCCCCTGACACAATAAACAAAACCCAGAAGAAAGTGAAAATATTTACTTGAAATGTAGTTCAGTTTGTTTATTTTTAGATGTGAATGGAGAGAGTCGTTTCTGTGATTCCCCAGATCCCCCTTGAGCAAACTACAGCTTCCTCCACTGGCAGGGGATCTCCAGGGCTGCCAGAGTCCAACAACATTTCTGGCTGATAGCCAAGACCGTGTGACCGAATCCACTTTCAGCGTCTGTCTCTGCAGATTTCACAGGGGTAGCGTGGAACTGCACTTCTCGTCAAGAACCTCGAGAACGGGAACCCGCCTGCTCCCTGCCAGCTTGCTATTTGCACACAACAGATGGAACGTAATAATCCGAAGAAATTCATCACTTACTTGTTCTTTTCTAGATGAATCGTGTATTCTTTTCCCTCTATCTCAATAGCATACGACACCTTGTCCTGAATATAAAAAAGTTGCATTTTACTCATGTTAATGAATAAAACGTGCTTTGAAATCAACAAAAGCCTGGCAGAAAACAGTCTCTGCGAGCTCCATTACCACTACGGCTATAGCATTCAAATCACTGCTGGCACCTTCCGTAACTCTGGACTAGCCTGTGGTGTTAGCCTTTTTAGATGTGGCTGTGGGTGCTGGAGATGCAGCTGATACCAACAAATTTACACCACCTCCAGGGGGATGCAGAGCTCTGCCGATCGGAGCCGCCTCTCCCTCCACGCTTCTTGCTGGTACCCCAACACCGGTCAGGGGAGCGGGTGCTTCCTGTGCTCCCAGCCGACTCCAGCACCTTCCAGAGCCATCAGGATTTGCTCTGGTTCCCTGACACCCAGCAGACAAAATCACTGCCATGAGCACACACTGAAATTGCCAGACACCAGGCTAACAAACTTCCCTTCTTAAATCCCGCTAGTTGCACCAGACCAGGAGTAACCACGTGTGGGTGAGCCTGAAACCTATTCTATAATCGTCCCTACCCCCGGAACCTGGCATCCCTTCCTGTGTAACTGGGGAAAAGTCACATGAAGGAAGCTGTTTCAAAATAGCTTTGTGGTTTTCTTATTCCTTGTTTCTAAGACTTCCACAGAAAAACTTAGTTACAGCTGGAAAAGGACAACCCAGTTTTATTACTGAGCATTCACAGTGAGCCAGTACCTCCACCGCCCTGCGCTAGCCAAGCGCTACACACAGCAACTCGGGTCCTTCAATATTAAGTGGCTAAGCGGAATCGCTGACCGCTGCATTAAATAGCACAGCAGGAGTACTGGCCAACAACTGCAATAAACTGCAAGGCATCTTTGCTAATATTAAATTCTGCCAATGTTTACAAGATCTGTGACTAAACACAGTCGGTCTAATCCAAATACTTTGAAGCGTGCTGTCTTTGGTTACGTGGCTACAGCAGAATAATACAGGCTGGAAAATACCACTTTGAAGCGTGCTGTCTTTGGTTACGTGGCTACAGCAGAATAATACAGGCTGGAAAGTACCACTGGAGGCTGGCTGATCCGACCCCCTGCTCAAAGCAGGGCCAGCCACAGTGTGGGACCAGGCTGCTCAGGGCCTCCTCCAGTCTCATTTTGAGCATCTCCCAAGAGAATGATTCCACCACCTCTGACGCTCGGTCCAGTGCTTAACAACTCTCGTTACGCACCTTTTACACCCAGATCAAAAATCCGTTGCGGCACCTTGTAACCCCTGGAGCAGGGAGGTATTTACCACAACTCGGCTAAAGGCAGTGCTAGGTGCGATGCCTTCTGTAAGGATGGACACTTGTGTGCTGCTGGATGAGTCCGACAGTGCTTTGTGAGAATGTCAGGTCAGCTTTGGGTGGACCTCTTTAGGAAGTAGATACTGAACTGAAGGCATTTTTAAGACCGCCCAGTACCTGTACTGAGGAGACATTGGAAGCCTCTCGCCGTTCTCTTCCTAACCTCTGCGGGACTACAACTTCATAGGAAGACAACAGAGAAATCTGCTGGAAACCTAGAAAGCAGAACAGAGACACTGGCTAAAGAAACAGGGCAATCAGAGGGAAAAGGCACAAGGAAGAAAACACTGTTTCAGGAAAAGCCCCTTCAGTAGGAGGGAGGCAGCCTGCAATTCCAGTTCAGGTCTCCAACTCATCACAGACCCCCGAAACTGGGCTGCGCGGTGTGGGTCTGCAACGCTGCACTGGGCAGATCCCTCTGCCACTAGACCGGCATCGTTCCTTACCACACACCTACAGGCTCTGCTTTTAAGAAACAACACAGCACCACATTGCCAAGGCACCACGTGTGCGGGGAGAGCTGTAACCCAAACAGAAGCCAAAGGCCCTGATGCTCACGGGAGAGCACAGAGCAAATCTCAGAGCAAAGCACGCTCGGATTGCCTTGTAAAAGGCCAGAGAAAACAACACAGCACCAGCAGCGACGACACCAAACTTCCCAGCAGGTTTCGAACGGGAAGCTTCGCGTTCCAGTTACCGTCTGACAGTATCTCTCTCGTACACCATCGCTCCTCACCGGCAGGAATCAGAGCACTTAACAAAGCAGGTCAGCGCAGTGAGAACTTGTTCAAGGACACACAGAGAGACGGTGTGACAGTCCCGCGCTGCAACGCTGCCGACCCGCCCCGGCTCGACCACGCAGCCTCTCTAGATCAGCTCTCAGGGGCTCCAGCAGCTCCCGTGCTTCCTAACGGCACGGCGGCGCAAAGCCAGCCCGGCAGAGCTCAGCCTTACGTCCTCGCCCTGCGCGCCACAGCCAAACTTCGGACACAGGGCCAGTACTACTCATTACCCTCTTAGAGAGCTCTTAAGGACCCTGTAGGGACAAGAGAGGTGGAACAACCACAGGCGACAAAGGGGCCTTGTGCAGATCATTTCACAAATGATTTGCATACGCAACATCAGCCAGATGCTCCGATTGAGCAACAATCAAACAAAAGTCTACGGTCCAAGTTTCCATTATAAGGCATCAGTTTTTGCAAGCAACTGTTCTATATCGACTGTGTAAACAATAATAAATCGCACATGCAAATGCCTTTTCCCATCCACAGTCTGCCTGTGCCTGGCTCGGGAGCCGCTCCCCGGGGAAGCGGGAGGTTGGTCGCCCGGGATGGCAGGCGGGATTAAGAGCATCAGCTTTACTAGCTGATGGCAATGGAATCAGTGAGCTCATCGGAGGAGCCTGAGCGTCCCGACCCAAAGGTAAGGGGGGGAAGGGAACAGCTATCCTCCTTGCCACCGTTTATCTCCAGAAATAACCGCCACACATCTGGGGGGCAGCGAGGGGGTGTTTAGTCTCGGAGATCCTCCAAAAACTCTCAGCATGGGACCAAGGTGCCGCAGTCATTTAAAACCCAGCCACTTTGAGCCCACCAAAACTCACTCCGCAACTCCACAGCATTTCTGTCACACAAGCATAGGCAGGGCTGTGCTGTTTCTCAAGAGGTAGCAGTACACATACTGCAGCAGAAGTCCCATTAATTACAGTGGTTGTTGGGAAAAAGGTATAAAAAAAGCAGCGATAAACTTCCTGAAAACAGCCCTTCTGTTCACAGGCTACAAAAAGTACAGTGCCGATACCTCCCTGGCCCGAAAACAGGGACGGGAAGGGCAGCTTCCTTCCCTGGGATGAACCACTGAAAGTACGTACTCCAGCAAATCGCTTCTCTACATTTGTCATTTCCAGCCACGCATTTTGCTGGTATCCGGTCCCGAGCTCTCGCACGTCGCTGCTCCGCACTTGTCACTTCCCCACTGCTGCCCAGAAGCGCCCTTATTAGCGGGGGATGTGGCACTGTGACATTTGGACAGAACCTTGGAGACTCTCTTAGGCCACGTGCTACTGAAAGAGCAGGGCACGGCTCCTCTCCGCCGCACGGCTCCTCTCCGCGGCTTGGAAGCAGGAGACAAAGGAGTGAATCACCACGTGCAGCGAGCGAAACTGGGAGGGATTTCTGGGAAGAGTGCAACTCCGAGAGGCTTCCTTGCAGAGAAACAGCGCTAAAGCAGTTCCCTTTCCAACTCCCCAAATACTCGGACAGTTCTTCCCCCGCTTTCCGCTCTCCTCCCCTCCCTTCACTACCGCCAGTCTGGGACTTGGTTTCAGGTACAATGCCTCGTTCTTCCCTTCACTGTGGGCAAAATCCATCAGAGGAGGAGGGCACGTTTGTCTCGATTAACAAAGTGCTTCCTATTACAAGCTAAAATACAAGGGTAGGAAGGCACCACCTTGCTTTCTAGTGTCACTAAAAAGAGAAAAGCAGCCTTCATGTTAAAAGTTTGAACCTAATACAAACAGCCTCCCCTTTAACTTTCAGTTCTCCCTCCCTTTCTGGCAAAACCATCCCTCCTCTCCCCATGTTTCAGTACAGACCAAGCTGACAAGCCCGCTGACCTACAGAAGAGACAAGAGTTTGCTCTGGGGCAAACTCTCACCGGGCCAAGACGGCTCGGCAGGGGCTGAAAGCGCAGCGCACCCCTTCACTGGCACCCCCAGAACAAAAGCACCCGTTAGGGCAGGTATTTCCACTTTTTATAAAGAACCTATTTCTGTGCTGGCTGCCCCACACAACATTTCACGCATCGCTAGCAACCCTCCAAGAGGGCAGAGCAGTTAATCAAAACCCCAGCGAAAGGGACGAGCCCAGCGAAGCAGAAATGAGAACCCGCAGGAGACAACCCTGCCCCTGAAGCTTCCTCCTACAAAGGCTGCTACTGGGGCAGAGGCCTTTTGCCTTCCGAGAAACGCAAATCTTGAGAGGTCTGTCCTCAATCCAGTAGCCCACCGGCCACCTCGAATCCCACCTAGCACCCACGGCTCCTTCTAGCGACCGACACGATCAGGCAGTATCGCACCCAGGGAAGAAAGACGTACTCAGCTCGACCTAATTAGCACAAGACAAAATTCCAGCAAGGACAAGGCGGTTTGCAGCTACCACAGCAGTCCAGACGAACGCCAGGCTCCGGCACGCTGTGAAGGCACTATCAGATGCGCTCCTGCAACCACATCGGTACCAAGGTGCTGCCCTCCAGTCAAGACGGTTACGGTCCATGAGGATTCATCCATACCTTCAGTACCACGTGGAGGTGGTTTAATTCATAGCAATCAAGGAAAGGCAGAAGTGACAGCAAAAACCAAACCCACTCAGCTGTTTTCCACGCAAGATGCTTGAAGATATTTATATTCTGTTTTCCTAAGATATGCTATTTTTTGCAACTTTTTCCTCCACCTTCTTTTGAGAAACTTCACTGCAATCTAAGTATGGTTTTTAAGCCCAGTAGTTTGCAATACATTTTTCAGCAGCTTGCAGGACTTCTTGTACTCAGGTGCTTCCTGCCACTGGCCAAGGCTGCCACCCAAGTTGTGCTTCTTATCCTTCATTCTCGGGTGCGACACCAGTTGAGATTGTATTTCCAAGGAGAAAAAAACAACTGCATCCACTGTGTTTATCTTGTCTCATTAAAGACTGCCTCTAATCAGCAAGCATCGGAGGCAACAAGGAAGACGTGAATCACCTTCCCCTCCCCGCCCCAAATCCACGGTAGGAATTTCGTGCACATTCCATAGCGTGCGGGAGCTTGAAAGCCATCGAAACGTGTCACGGCCGTTAGGGTTCTCCAGACGCTGAGGTAAGCTGCTAGGGCATCCGCTCCCCGGCAGGTAAGATCCGTATTCAGCAAAAGTCAGGTCACGTCTCCTGTCTCTCAGACCTTGGCATGCCTGCAGATCGTTGGCTCAGTCGCAGAAATACAGCACGCAGCTACCTCCACCCACACGAAACAGCTCACCCCAAAAAAAAAAGAATAAATAGGAAAGCTTAGACTGTAGCCTGTTACACCACGAAACAAACCCATTTCATAAAACCAAGCTCATCAGCACGTGACCAGCTCAGGCTGCAGACAGACGCTCACACGGAACGTGCAGAAAGCCACCCTTCCCACACCGAGGAGGAGGAATGGATTCATGGAGACAAGGCTCAAAACCATCCCACCGGCAGCACGGCAGGGGCCAGCGGAGCGCTGGGCCGGCCAGCCCCATGGCTGCGGGGCTCGATTTCTGCTCTGACCACCCCATCGGATCCCCCACTGCTTTCAGCATCGCAGGCAAATACTGTACCGGCATTCTGCGCAATAGGCAAGCCACTGGAATTCCTCTGATGCTACCCGAATTTGTTCGCAGCTGCCTGTGAGTGAAACTCAGAGAGGACACCCAGTGTGACCACTTACGTGTATTCACCTACTGCCATTTGCTGAATCCGTGAGCAAGAGTGGAAAGTTCCCTACTGAGCCAGGAAAAAAAAAAAAAAAAAATCAGCATGGCAGAGAAGTAAGGCATTGCTAATGCCCCCTTCAGATTTACCCTGCGCCTGCAGCCACGCTGGCTGCTTTCAGCCATTTTACGCTCAACTTAAGGGCTTGACCAAAGCTGTATTGACCCCAGAGCATCAGTTAGCAGCACTGAGTTTTAATCTTCTGTTAGCTGCGTGCGGCCGAGCCAAAAGATGCACGTAGTGCCAAAGCACTAAGTGCACAAACTCGTTAAGGTAACCATTGCTATAATCGATTGCAATTAATAGGTGAGGTCAGCTGCACCGGTCATTCGACACTCAGGCAGCAGACTGCTCGCTCGAAGGGCCAGGCGCTTTACACGGCCACCTCGTCCATCCTCGGGCCCCAGGGTGGGATCAGTTCCACACAAAGCACCTCCAGAAGCAGCCCTGATGTCCAGCAGATTTCCCTCGCTGTGTGTCAAGCGGCAGCTCTGATCCCCAGAGGACGGGGACAGTTTATCCCCCTGCTGTCTGCCTGCAAATTTTTTGATTTTCAAAGTGTGCTGTCACACTCGCCACTCCTTCCCTTCAACTAAGGAAAGGCCAATATCCGTATTTCCTTGTGGGCCCTATTTCTTAGACCTCTGACCATTCATATTAGGCTCTGCTCTCCAGCTGGACTGTACCCATCCTGAAAAAGGATCCGCAACAGGACACAACAGTCCAGGGAGGCCTCACAAGTATCAAGGTTCGTGTACTTTGTGCATTTACGTATCCCCACAGGTTAATCTTTCTTCTGTAACAGACAGCACATCCAAGTCACTTGTTTGCCCATCTCCTTTCCTGCCAACATGCACCCCATTCTTCATCCTCTCGTACCGGTGCAATCATTTCCACCTCAGCAGAACACTTTGCGCCTGTCCTTTCAAAGACCCATCTTTCTGCCAGGTATTTCTCTTACGTGCCCACGTTATCAGGACAATCATTTCTTTAAGGAGCCTGAATCCTATCCAGTGGGAAGGGGACCAGCTGCAAACTCAATATGCATTCTCTGTAACCCATTTTCAAAATCGTAAAGGACTTTGCCAAGCAGTATCTGTTTGAGGAGAAACTTCTGTGAGCTGGCTTACAGATGTCCCTCCAGAATGACCCGTAGCCACCGATACTTCTTCAGTGCATTTCTTCAACCCATTACATACTAGGAAAAGCGTTTTTAGGTGCAGTTGACCTTTCCGCGAAGCTGACAGCTGTAGCAAGATTTACTCTTTGGATTACTGGAAGCAAAAACCTCCTTCACTTTCACTGCCTAAATATTATCCAAGTCCAATCCAAATATATTTAGAGATTTACACAAAACAGCAAGCTAACAAACCTGCCAGAAGTAGGAACAGCAGTTTCAGTTCCTCCCGTACCTCAAAGGCTGAAGAGTGCCTCAGTGGTGCTCCATCACCAGAGCACCCGGGAACATCTGGCCAGGTGTTCTTCTATAGGCTGCTCCTCCTCCTTGGGACTTGTCTTTCCATCTCCACCCTCCCTTGCTCTAGGACTTTCAGACCAAGTGGGTCTCCTTGTGTCACGGTGCCTTTTTAGAAGGTAGGAAAAGATGACCAACTATCATGGCAAGAGAAGCAAAACCATCTACTTGATTTATTGCTCACCTGGAATATTTCTTTGACGTTAAAGCTGGCAAGAACAGTTAATGTAATTTCTCTTAGTATTTTACCAGTGGTGTTGGACATTAATGAGGATATTGAGCTCTTCTACAGCAATATTGCCTAGAAAATTCTCACATCCCTCCTGCT